CGTCGTTGCGACCCGCGTCGATCGACGATAACCGTGATTTACGAACCGATAACGGCATATTTGTCGCGCCACCCTCGCCGCCGGATTTACAAGCCGCCACCCCTTCTAATTCATCCGCGTTCGACGATCGATCATTCTTCGACCCGAGCTCGAATTCAGCCGAACACTCCCCGGTGAATTCGAAGCCGGTTGTGAGAGTATTAGAGAGAAAGGGAGAGAGATTAGAGAGAGAGAGAAAGAGATTAGCGGCACGCATACTTTCCATAGTTAACGCCAATTAATACGTCGGTCGTAACGAGAGCTCCGTTTCCGGCCTACACGGTGGAACCCGTCTCCATCTGTATCCACATCCGGTACGCGCGACGATGGTCTCTCTCTCGGTTGGTAACACGTCCTCTGACTCGCCAGGTCCAAGAATAATTCCAAGATACAGCCTCGTGGTCGATGCTGCCACCGGCGATCGGTCACAGAACTCGGCACTCGCCTCGCAAGTTGAACGCGACCGGCTTCAGACCACCCGTTTGGGCCCTTTGCGAAAATCCTGACTCGAATTAATAAACGGAATCGTTTGTTTAGGCGGGACACTCAAGTTGATAGAGCATTCGAGTTAATAAGTATCCAACTTGATGTGCTACTCGATGGGATATTAACCCATTAGCCGCCATTGTCCCATTTTTGGGACACTTTTAAATTCTATTCTTTTGGAAATTGCAACTTCTAAATAAATAAAATACACGTGCTCCATGAAAGTATTAAGAATTTCCGCTATTTTGTTTGAAATCATTGTAAACTTCAGGGTAAAACTAGTGACATCAATTTACAAATTTTAACCCTTTGCGCTCGAGTGGTGACTCTGAGGCACCATTGAAAAAAAAACTGTTACATCACGTTCCAAGATAATTTTTGTACTATCAAAGCTTAGATATAAAAAGTTGTTAAAAGTCTAACTGCTGTATGAGAGTCATAGGACTCAATTTCATATGCATGAAATGCATATGTCACGTCAAATGGACATACTATAAGGCAAAAAAGTTATATTACAGTTGATTTTTGGGGCGGGATTTTTTTAATTGCGGAGGGCAATGGGCTAAGTTGCTAGCTACTGGCAAAAACGCTATACAGTAATGTCTCCCTTACTGACGCTTAGATTGTCCACTAAAATGGAGAATTTGGGAAGAGGAGATACGATTTTTCGAGCCTTGCAGAATCGAATAATCGTATCTCCTTTCCCTAAATTGACAATTTTTGTGGACAAACTGAGCGTCAATTAGAAAGATATTACTGTATATATTTAATTATTTATATGGCACCAACATGGTGCCACCGGCGCTTGCCCGATAGTTTTTGCATGGCACCAACGCGGTGCCACCAGACGGCATAGTGTTCATCGAGTTTGACGATAGAAATGCTCCACTCCGTGAAATCTGCTTCGAATCGCGTTGCGTAGACAAAGACTCCCGACTATCCAAGTGACAAAATCATTCTTTAATAGAGCAAGTAGGTTGACCAGTTTGCACCGGTAAGTACAGTTCGATTGTTAGTTCCGATGGTGTGTAATTCGAGCGAGGCCGGCTCGAATTCCCACTTGACTCACTCCGTGACTAACTCTCGGCGTAAAGGTCAAGCGTGCGCAGCGTTCAAAGTTTGGAACGGGCTCAAAAATGTTTTCGTTGTCTTCTTCCCCCGGGATCATCCCGTCTCTTACGCTCCTCTCGGGGTGTCTCGGCGGTGTCCCTTCTAAGCTTTGTTAATAGTTATGTTCCTTGTCGCCGCGCCGCGGCCACCCTTTTTCCTTCTGGCGGGTAGCGCCTTTCTCTTTCGATCGTCTAAGAATAGAAACGCACGGTGGTTTTGCGGCGTGGATTTTTCCGGCGGCCGCGGCGCGTGAACCGCGCCCGCGCGCTCGTTTCTTCTCGCCTCTCGTCTCCCGTCTCTCGTCTCCTCTATTATTCTCCTCTCTCGCTCAGCTCTCTCGTCGGGGATCGAATTCGAATACATGCCCGACGGCGCGCACACACGCGTTGTCTCTCGTTCCGAGAGAACGTTCACCCGCGAGACGCCGGCTATCTCTCCTCTCGCGTCTCGAAGATGAAACGCGACCGGGAACGAGCGCGGACGCGCCAGGGACCCCTCGAAAGCGCAAAGCCTGCAGCCTGTAATCCGCTCAGCTTCTTTCTTCTCCCGCTTTCCACTCTTCCCTCCACGTCGCCCTTCGCTCGTCTCTCCGCTCGTCTCTCTCGCTCTCTTCCCGGTTGGGTTCCGCCGTGTCCGGCGTGGGTGTCTCGAGTACATTGGGTGCTGTGCGCCCGTTTTCGAAAACTCGACTCGACTCGGCTCGACTCTCTGGTTCCGCGAAATTTCCGCCGGCGGGACCAGCGGCGAACAGAAACAGGATGATAAAACGAGGAAAGCGAGGGGAAGCCGCGCAGGAATTCCGCTCGCTCGCGACGCGTTTTCTTCTCCTATTCCTGCTGGAGGCTCCTCGCCGCGACTAGAAGCTTCCCTCTTCCCTCCGCGAGCCTGTCCACGTGTCCCTGCTGCCGGCTCTGCTCGCTCCTCTCCTCTCTCTTCTCCTCTCTCTTCTCCTCTCTCGCTCTCTCTCGCTCTCTCTCTCTCGGCGGGACGTGGGACGATCCTCTCCTCTCTCGTGCGACTCTATATAAACCACCGTGAACTCGCAGTCTGGCCCGAGTAGTTCGCCAACGGCGAACTGAGCCCGTGCGGATCATTCTCTGTGTTCACTCGACGCGTCAGTGATCGTGCGAGCCAGTGCGTGCGCGATAAAGGTACCAGGAGAGAGAGAGAGAGAAAGAGAGAGAGAGGAGATGATAAAGAAGAACGAGAGAGCGAAGAAAGTCGGTCGCAACCGGGATATCTGCGGGAAATCGGAAACGGTGCATCCTCGGTGCATCTCCGATAAGAAAGCCTGCGGCCAGTGCAACGATTTCGACCGCCGTGAATTTTTCAGCCTCCAAGAACGTTTCGAAAGGCGCCTCGTCCTTTTAGGTGTGCGATAGACTTGCCGGGCCATCGGTGACCCAGTTCGTTTCCTCTCTCGCGGATATACCAGTCGCGGTCGGGTTTTTCGCGTGGTGTCAGCCGCGACGCACCCGCTCTATTAATAGTCGCCCGACGAATAGCTTCGGCTTTGCAGGGCTCCTTCCAGTCTCCTCATGTACAGGGTGGTTCGCAATTGCCTGCCTTTTGCGACGACGCGACAAAGGAATGGAGCGATTGCTCGAAACGCGCGAACCATTTAATAATAACAATAACGATGATGATAATCAGTAATCGTTAATAATAACGAGCTTTGTTCGATCAGCGGGAGAAAAACCCCTGTGTTCCGATGATACGACAATATTTCGCACAAGTTGCGTATCGGAAAGAATGAAGAAAGCTGATGCAATAAAAAGACGCGACGGAAGAGAAGGCAAGAGATAGGAATATTGATCGCTGTGAAAATATGGCGGAAATAATAGAGAATAATGCAGTACGAGATCATTTTAATTCATTTTAATATCGTTTGATTTGTTTCATCGACGCGTCAAAGTCTTTCCATTGCGAGTAAATTATAATAGTAAATTATAATAATAAATTATAACTGCGAGTAAATCATCCTGTGCACGAGGAGCATTTTTTCTAGCCCCCGGTTGGTCGATTTCGATTTCACTGTGCCCTGAAAGCTGACGTCAGAGTCCCTATAAAAGAGTCCCAGAGAACTCGATTCCGATTTTTTACTCCACCGTGTAGGACTTCGAATGTTAACAATTCGTTAGAGTCTACGTTGCACCTTTGCACTCCGGCTATTATTCGCTGCCATCTTCTTTCCATCGGCGACTTCGGTCTTCTTCGTTGTAGCTTTCCTAAAAATTTGTTGACCGAAAGAAAGAACAACGTTGTCCAAATTACTCCGATAGAACTCTAAAATATAGACTTTCGAAAATTATAAAATCACCGTCGGTAGATACAGTAATGTCTCCCTAATTGTCATCCAAATAGTGCAGAAAAATGGACAATTCGGGAAGAGGAGATACGATGTTCGAGCCTTGCGGCTCATTTTCATAATTGTTGACGATCGGTAACTATAAGAACGAACCGCAAGGCTCTCGAACAATCGTATCTACTCTTCCCAAATTGTCCACTTTTATACACAATCCGAGCGTCAATTAGGGAGACATTAATATAACACTTGGAAACCTTTGGAAAATTGTCGCGATGTCGCACACATACACGTGCGACCCGCGAATTTTTGTCTAGCTTCCAAAACTCGTATTCGTTGAATTATGCTCGACCGAGCTGAATGTCGCGCACGGCTGTTTAGCATGCAAAGCAGTTTTAAAATGCCCCGTCGACCACGATAAACGCGCACTTTCTAGTTTTCTATTTTCGTGCACCGTAATCGCGCGAAAGATTCGTCATTGACGAGCATATCAGCCGAGAATAAAACGTGTGCCGAGCGTGAACGGAGTGCAAAGAAATGAGCCGCGACGGAATTTCGGCGATAACCCCGCTTGATCCCGGTTGCTGAACCGACCCCGGGACTTTTATCGCGACCGTGATTACAAAGTGTTCTTTCAAGGACGTTCGCCGAACGGTGCTTCATCGAGAGCCATTGAGAAGATGGAGTCCATGTCGAGGGCGGGCCGAAGCGTCGGCAACGGTGTCTACCGTGTGGCCGGCGCTTTTGCACGCGGTGCCAGGAGAGTTCTGTCTTACGTGCCGCTTCTCGGCGTAGCTGCGGACCCACCGGAAGCCGAGGAGCCTGGATCTCCAGCGGTACGAATCTCGGCCCTTGACGCGCGAGGGTCGAGTCACACGCCCCCGACGCGTCCGCGTCTCCGATTGGTCGGACGCCGGCACGCCCACCGCTCCCACTCCGGCGGCCCGCGCGGCCAGAGCCCCGAACTCGAACGGTTATCGAGCAGCCGCTACCGTTTCCTCGTATTTAGGAAATTTGTTGCGCCGAGAGAGCATTCGTTGCGTCAAAAAACACGCGTAGAGAGAAAGGGAGATAGTTTTGCGTAACCGTTCATTGTTCGGCGGATCGAAAACGCGTTCCAGAGCGGAAACAAAGGTAAACCGACACTCGGCTCCGAGCGGCACGGCGCGCAAAAATAGTCGCGCGACTACGAGCGAGCCGCGGGATGAAAATAGCAGGCGAATCGACGCCGGTCTCGAACGTCGTATCGTCTCGTTCCGTTTCGTTCGCTACGTGCAACGATACATTTTACGATAATGTCGGCCACGATTCGTACGATTTTTATGGAAATAAAGCGAGATGCAATTATTTCATTTAGAAGAACACGTTCTGTATAAAATACGAACGCAGCGAGCCAAGTACAGTAATGTCTCTCTAATTGACGCTCAGATTGTGCACAAAAATGGACAATTTGGGAAGAGGAGATATTTTTTATCTTTAAGCTCGATTATTTGAGCTTTGCGGTTTGTTTTTATAGTCACGAATTGTCGACGATTATAAAAATGAGCTGCAAGGCTCGAATAATTGTATCTCCTCTTCCCACATTATCCATTTTAGTGGACAATCTGAGCGTCAATTAGAGAGACATTACTGTAGCAGGCAAGACGTTACCCTATATAAATGGCAATCAAATTACTAAATTCCATTAAATATGCATTACAAATCAAGAATGAAAATGGAACTATTAATTGGCATATATGTCAACAAAAATTAATATTAACAAAACAAAGTTTGCCCAATATCATCAGCAATTAAATTAAGAAAAGCGTAGCCGTGACAATAACAAAGAAAAATGTCAAAAAAATCACAATTAATTGTGAGCCAAATGCTTAACTATTTGTATAGTCTCTTTTTAATTTTGCTACACGGTGGGATACAGTCAGCGTCGAAAGTTCCTCGAGCAGAAAGGTTATTAACTGGCTGGACAACCGCGTTCTTTGTATCGGCGCGGCGTTCACGGAAGAATGATCGCGCACCTGCGAAAACCCTTGACGTCGGGCTCCTCTCGTCTGGCTCGAGAAAATATCTGACGAAACCGCGTCGCGTGGAGAACGTGTCGGAGACGGAGGCCGGTAAATCGGCGTTTATCCCGCGCGGCAGATTAATGCAGCACGCGAGTGATCGATGGTTTCGGCGCGGCCGCGACTCGACGATTTCCTCGCGAGCTCCGCCGCGGTTTTCGGGATCGTTAATAATCGCGATAGAGATCTCGATCGCCGAAAGCGGGGAAAATCGTCGGCGGGGGACGGGACGGGCCGCGGAACTGCCGCGAATCCGATTCGATTCCCGGTGCCGGAACGATTAAATTTCCCGTGGCCGGCGGCGCGACCAATTTACGCTGGTATTAATTTCCATTGGCCAGGGCCGGCGTGCGCGGGGTTCCGCGTCGATTAACAACCAACGAGTTCAGCCGTGCCTTGCGTCGCGTCCATTACGCTCGAGAGCGCGGTTGTCCGCACGAATTCGACCGATGATAACTTCACGAAAAATCGTCGCAGATCGATGAAATTTTTTTTACATCGAAGCCTGAGATCTCTACTTTAAGACAGTGTTTCAGGATTTTCTGGATTTTCAGACACTCTGTCACCATGTCCGTCATATTGAATATTGCCAAGTTCGACGTAACGCACAGACCTCGCAAATTTTTTTCCGAGGATCCCGCTTGCAGTGGAACGTTGCTCGATCTTCACCCTTCGATTTAAAAAAGAGGGAACGCGGCTACGATTTTTTTTCGCAAAATTACAGCACTTTGAAGCAAACCCTTGCCGGTAGATTCGAACGAATCGGTGTTTTTCCATCTAGACAGGAAGCTGATCGATTAAAGTACGTTAATTACGTTCGATTTGCAAGGTATCGATCAACGTTGTATCGAAGATTGATGCATTCGAACGCAACGAGGCTCGAATGTGAAGCAATGGGAACCCCCAAACTATTGGAAAAGGGGGTGGAATCGTGCTTCGAAGTAGCGTCGAGTGAATTGACGAAGCTCGTCGACGATGAAGTCGTCGCGCGTCTGCGGAAGCGACTCTGGTTGGACGATAAAGGGTTAGCAGATCCGATTCGCGGAGTCTCGTAAGCTCTATCGGCGCATTAGAACGCGACTTCTCGCTCCGTTTACGCGTCGGAGACCGATATTGCCGTCGCCGTGCACGCTCCGGTGAACCGAATAAATGCAGCTGTCGTAATTCGATTCCGGGGAAGCTGGGCAAACAGCACGGCGACCTAGGAAATAAAAGAGAACGCGCGCGGCAACGAGACAGAGTGGCGAGAAACTGTCGGCGACTCGGCTCGGGGAACAACGAATGAGACGAAAAGCATTTTCTTCCCGAATGATCCGCGATGAATAGGCAGATGCAATTAGTAAACCGATACGCCGGAAACGCGCGGGCTGACAGTCTCGAGACCGCCTCGGAACCATTCCCGAACCGTTCCCGATCGTTATCGACCCCCTTCGAATTTCCGCGCGTGTTCACCGGACGACAGTTGTTGCACGCGCCGGCTTTTTTCGCCGGTCTCTCTCTCTCTCTCTCTCTCTCTCTCTCTCTCTCTCTCTCTCTCTTTCTCTCTCTCTCTCTCTCGGAACAGAAAATTGATTCCTGTATCAGCTCCGACGCGGCCGGCCGCCAGCTGCCACGCGGAGGATAATTCGCTCACGGATGACTGCGATGGGCGAACTCGTTGCTCGGCGAAAAACTGTGCTCGATCGCCGGATAAGAAACTGGTCGTCGTCGCTCGGTTTCGATCCGAGCTGCCTACGCGTCTCGTAATACCTCGCTTCTTTCGCGTTTCAACCCTCCTACGGTGTCCGGGAAACGTGTTACGCCGACAGCGTTGAGAAAAATATGCGCGCGCGCGTCTTCGCTGGGTGCGCGCGGCAACGTTTTTGCGACTCTCGAGAGGATATCGATATGCGAAAGTGGAAAATAAGAGTAGAGACATTTGCACGTTTTAACAGGAATTTCTCGAAGATCGATAATCGGAACGGAGCCCACGTGTCGCGCACCTTGGCGTGGGCGATCGCGTGGTCTCCCTCGAGGACTCGTCTAGCCGTCCAGTCGGACGTGGGCCGACAATGGGGCACCCATTGATCCGCCTGTTAGGCGCGACGCGTCGCGCGAGTATCCTTCGCGAACCGACCAAGAACCGACGAAGAAAAAAGGTCGGGGTCGTTTCTCGCGATCTCTCCGAAACCGGCGAAGTTTCTCGCGTCGATCGGCCAACCATCAAGCGGCGAAATCCGCGATTCTCGTTTAAATATACTCGGCGCCGAGCCTTGAAACGAGAACACGCGGTGCATGTCTCTTTCTTCCTCTCTTTCGCGAGGAGGACGCGAGAGGAGGAACCGAGAGCTCCCTTGGTAACCCAGTCGGAGCTGGTCGACTGGCAACGGAGCCCGCGATCGATTTCCTCGCCTTGCCTCGTCTCGACTCGTCTCGCCTCGTCTCGCCTCGTCTCGCCTCGCGGTTAAAAGCCCCGACTAATCGGAAGTTTATTACTACGTCGCGGCAACTTTCTTTCTTCCACCGACCTCGAACAGAGCCGGACAATGGCCCGAGACACTGATCCTCCTCCTCGTCTGGCCACCGTCTGGCCACCGGCCAGCCAGCCCGTTGCCCTTTTGGCCCCCGGTTTCGCCGCGCCAACTTTCGCCAAATTTGTAACGCTACGCTACTGTCAACCTACGCCGATGAATTACGACCGTCCACGGATAGATCTTTTCCTGATCTTCGATGCACGATGCGATCACCCTGTGCGATCTCCTGTGCTCGCACGCGAAACGTTTGAACTTGTATATTCTTCGAATGGCGACTGTGAGGCGCCACTAAAAATTGCTGTACTACTTTTCTAAATAATTGTAAGAGTGTCGGATTCGTTTATATTTTAGAAAACTATTAAAATTACAAATAATGTACTTGTCGATATGCTCAATTTCATACGAATAAATCGTATTAAATCATGTAAAATCGAAATACTGTAGATCAGAAAATATGTTTCGCATTTCGAATTAAAATAGCTTCGACTGCAAAGGGTTAATCCTTTGCACTCTCGTCGCAAGCAAGAGCGAAAGCAGAAATTAGGGGAGTAGGGGTGGCACGAACGTCGATGTTCGCACAAGTTCGTTAAACGATCCGAAAATCTCGGAAACGAGAGGATCCGCAGGTTCCGTCGCAGGTCCTGGTTCGGCCCCTTGAGCGGCCGTAATTCTTTAAGCTTACCCCTTAGGAAAACGGAGGAAGGGTTGTTTCACTTAGCTCGGCGATCGATATGCGACGGTCTGGGGACGATAAAGCACGCGACCGTGTTCCGCGCGTCCGGTTTCCGATTCCCTCTTCGGTTTCAAGAATTGATCTCGGTGTCCCTTCGGTCTCTTCGCACGCCCAACCGAGTTGGGAAACCTCGGGGGTGGGTTCGATTTGCACGAACAACTTGCACCCCTTTCGATTCTCGTTCGTCTCCGCTTCGCACTCCGCTCGTCTCTCCGCTGATTATCAATCGTCGAATGAAAATCAATCGGGAGTTTTAACACGGGGAAAGCGATCGCTGACACAGTGACACGATTGGCCACCCCTGAAAGGGCGACGTCGACGGTCCACAGCACCCCATGGGGTATCTCTCTTTCTCTCTCTCTCTCTCTCTCTCTCTCTCTCTCTCTCGTTTTTGTACCCCCGTCCCATTTCCACGTGTACGCCTGTGCCAGGGGCATATCCACCCTCCAGCGAGCAGAGCCGCCCCTCTTGTCTACGTGTCGCTAGGCTGCACCGTTTTCACCCTCCTTCTTCTATTCTGAATCGCACTCCTCTGCTACTCTACCCTCGGCTCGACCAGAAAGCCCCGGCGACAACTGTCAACTTACTCTCACCCTTCGTGACGAACAAAAAAATCGTGTCGCGCTCGAACGGACCGCCGGCACCAGGTTACAACGGCGGGCCCGGAAACTAGTCTGGGACTTGTCTCGAATCTCTAATGAACTTGCCGCGAGCTTTCGTCGGGAAAATTCCAAGCGAATTCGGAATTTTCGAATTTTTAAGTCTCCGCGCGATCGAACGTTTCGAGCCCCCTGAGGGTGGTTCGTCAATATTAGGGCAACCCTTGCGGCAATAGTATCGACAATTTCATTCATTAACGAAGCTATCGTAGATTCAGAGATTCGTGCTTTCCGTTTATAATAATGAACTGTGTAAAACGATTGAATATATTTATTTCGTCCTTAAAACTCTTTATTAACCCTTCGCACTCGAGCGGTGACTCTGAGGCACCATTAAAATGATTACATCACGTTCCAAGATAACTTTTATATTATAGATGTCCAGACGTAAAAAAATTGTTAATAGTCTAATTGTCGTACGAGTTGCAAGACTATAAATTTCGTGTGCATAAAATGCATTTTGTCATATAAAATGGAAACACCATAAGTCAGAAAAATTAACTTAGATTTACGGTTCAAATGACTTCGAGTGCAATGGGTTAACATTTTTCAATATCACACTGTGTTTTCTTCGCAATAAAATCCTGTACAATCTTGTTCCGCAACGAATCCGCCTTAAATTCAAAAACTGGAGCATCCCCTTTGCAACAACCCCTCGAAAAGACTCGGCTCAGGATTCTTTGCAGCAGTTTCATATTTTAAATCGATCGAAGAAGCCTGAGCAGAGCGATTAAAATGCTTATTGCAAGTTCAGGGGTCGATGCAAAGGGGAGGAGACTCTTAGCTCGAAAGGGTTGAAAATCCAATCCGAAGTTTTTATAACGCCTGGAGACAACTTATTAACGTTCGAATACCGTTTTCAGGGTGGGGAAGAGGCGGAGAACGGCTCGGCAACAGCGGGCAGCCCGGTGGAGGAGAAGTCGGCAGTAAGTAGTCCATCGGTGGAGACCGAGGCGGCGCCGGCGTCGGCGGCGTCCGCGGTGGCGTCCACCGAGTCGAAGGAGGAGGCGTCCTCGCCGTCCGCAGCAGCGACAACAGCAACGGCGGCTAGTAGCCCAGCCGACGAAAAGCAAGAGGAACCCACTCCCTCTGCCCCCACTCCCGTCCCTGTCGAGGAAAAGAAAGAGGAGGTCGAAAAACTCGAGGCCGAGAAAAAAGTAGTCGAGGTCAGTCCAGCCGGTGGTCAGTTCGTACCGGACCCGGTAGAAGTCTCCGTTTTCCGAGTCCAGACAGTCGCTACGCCGTCGTCTATCATTGAGAGGAAAACCAGTGAGGATATTCCTTCCCTGCCTCCGTCCAGTCCGCCACCGACGCCCATAGATCCGTCGCCGTTGCAGCAGGCTCAGCAGGCCGCGGCTACCGCGAGCCTGCTCGCGGTGGCCTTGAAATTGCCTGCCGAGGCTGCTGCCGACGAAGATCCGCTCTCAGATCCCGTCACCGATCCCCTCACCGATCCCGTCACAGATCCCGTCGCAGACCCCGTTGCAGACCCTGTCGCAGACCCCGTCACAGACCCGGTCACAGACGAACCACCCCCGACACCATCGGAATCTCGCGATGTCCCCCAGAGACCACACGTTTCACCCCCAGACGAATCCCGAACAGAACAGGCCCCGACTCCTCCCCCGCAGCTAGAGGCTCTGCCGGTGGTAGATACCGTCGTTGACGTCGACGCAGACGTCAACGTCGTCGCGACTAAGCCGGTGACCGCGGTCGAACAGCCGGAGTCGCCGGAGGTGAAGACCAGAGCTCCTCCGCCGATCGAACAAGAGAGTCCGAGCGAACCGAAAGAGGATGCGCCGGTTGCGGTGGCAGAGGCGCCGCCTCCGCTTCCAGAGAAACCGGAGGATCGAGAAGAGAGTCTCGTGTGCGTGATGGAACTAGCCTCCGAGGGACCGCAGGAAGAACCGAAGGAAGTCGTCGAGCAGTCGGTAGAGTCGAAAACAGTTCGCGATATTGGTAGCGCCGCGTCCAGCGAACAAGAAGTGCCCAAAGAGGAGGCTCCGAAAGTCGTTGAAGAAGAGATCGCGATAAAGAAGGAGAAGGAGGTGTTAGCTAAGGAACCGTCGCTCTTGATCCGCGATTCTGTGGTAAATACGGAAGAGGGACCGATGCCTCTGTCCGAGGAGACGCTGGTCGAGGCTAAGCCTGCGGTAGTCATCCCGGAGGAAGAGGAGGAGGAGGAGACCGTGGACACCGTTGCCAAAGTCCCAGAAGTGGACACGCAGTCCGTCGAAGCGATTCCCGACGTGGAAGAGAAGCTGGAACCGACGACGAAGGTGGTCGAACCGGAGGTCGAGCCTCCTAGCATGGAAGCGATGCAGGTCGAGCCTCCTAGGATGGAAGGCATGCAGGTAGAGCCTCCTAGAATTGAAGGGATGCAGGTCAAGCCTCCTAGTATTGAAGGGATGCAGGACGAGCCTCTTAGCATAGAAGCGATGCAAGTAGAGCCTCCTAGGATGAAAGAGATGCAAGTCAAGCCTCCTAGAATGGATGCGATGCAGGTAGAGCCTCCTATAATTGAAGGGATGCAAGTAGAGCCTCCTAGAATGGATGCGATGCAGGTAGAGCCTCCTAGAATTGAAGGGATGCAAGTAGAGCCTCCTAGAATTGAACGGATGCAAGTAGAGCCTCCTAGGATGAAAGAGATGCAGGTAGAGCCTCCTAGGATGGAAGCGATGCAGGTCGAGCCTTCTAAAATTGAAGAGACGCAGGTCGAGCCTCCTAGAATGGAAGAAATGCAAGTCGAGCCTCCTGGAATGGAAGGGATGCAGGTCGAGCCTCCTGGAATGGAAGGGATGCAGGTCGAGCCTCTTAGAACGGAAGGGATGCAGGTCGTGCCTGAGATAACGCCTACAGCTTTCGTAGTCGACGAGGTCGTCGTGACCGTTCCGGAGCAGGTCAACCTAGTTCCAGAAGAGGATTCCTTGCCTCCTCTACCCGCGCCAGGCTCCCCCGAGGCCTGTGTTCCAGAGAATCTCGATATCGACGCCACCGTAGTGCCTTGCCCCGTCGTTGATCTTGAACCATGGACCGCGGAGCGGTCTCAGGACGCGGAGAAAAGACCCTCGTCGCCGAAGGAACGAGAGGAGAACGTTCTCCCAGTCTCTCCCTCGAAATCGCGAGTCTCGGACAGCAAGAATCAGGAAGAAAACGAAGAGATCGTCAAGGATGAATCACGAACGGAGATCAGCAGGCTTGAGCCCGTTTCGATCGAGTCGAACGAGCTTCCCCCGGCGCCCCAGGACACCGTACCCAACACAGACTCGTTCGAGTATCCCTTACCACCGGAAGAGCTCTCTTGCCCGCTAGCGACGAATAGTTATAGTATCGTACCCGAGACGAAGAGCGAGTTTCCGGTTCCCGACGCGGACGACACGCCCAGCCTGAGAAACCCGACAGAGACGCTACTTCTGACACCGCCCAGAAGTCCCAGTCCCCAGTCCACCGTGACCGGCGCGACCGTGGTGACAACGTCCACGATAGACTCCTCGCAAACACACTCAGACTACCAAGACCACAACCAAGACCAAGACCAATACCGCGACCAAGACCGAGACCAACATCACAGCGACGAGAACGACCGTTCGGCCTGTACTATCGTACACGAGTACGGGTACGAGGACAGTCAGTTAAGGAAGACAGTAGCCAAGTCTCCGGCGGAGACTGAGAACCAGGAAGAGAGCTCGATCTCGTGTCAGTTGTCGAACAACACCACGTCGTCAACCACTGTCCAGGAGACCCATCAGGTGACTAACATGTAACACAACCTCCTGGCATGAATTCAGGCGGCCGAGTCGAAAAGCAAAGCAAAAAAAAAAGCAATCGGTCAATCTTTGGTGGCGCCTCGTTCCAAGTATCTCGTCGTTACGGTCCGCACAGATATGTAATACCAACACCACCACCGTGTCTCTCTCTGGCATATCTCGCCTCTGGAGAGAGTGTCGGCTCTCCCGGTCCTACAACCCGCCCCCAACAACAACAACAACAGCAACCCCTCTTTCTCTCTGTCTATCTGAATCCTGGTCCGACTACAACCAACACCCCCGGATACAACTCTGTGTGTCCTCCTTCGCCGAAACAGAAAAAGATCGTCGCGCAATGATCCAGAGAATCGCAAAAGAACGAACCGTTCTCGGCCCCGAGAACGAGACACTGAGACTGACATCGACGTCTGTGGGGTTTTTGCACGAATTTCATCCATGAGAGTCAATCAGTACACTAGCACGTTGCTACTCTGGCCAGTTCCATGCACGACCGAAGGGAGAACATACATATATATGTATACATACGTATATATGTCTTTTTGATATACCGAAAACGTGTATCGAAATACCGTGTACATGTCATCCTCCTAAAACCTGAAAGGGTATCATCGTCTCTCCCCCTATAGTTCTTCGCAACACATCCCACCGTCGTCCAATGGGTCTCTCGTCGAATGCGTCTCCTTCTGTAAACCGTGATTAACAATTGAAACCTCTTTACTCACACACACATGCACACACGCACACACATTACACACCCGCGTACGTAAGCACACGTGTATCATTCATTTAACAAAGATCTCTCTCTTTATCCTTTATCCGTTCCCATCGACCACCACCAAGTATCGAACCATTACTGCCATATATCACCTGTGTTGTTTGCCTCTTGGTTTTCTTGACGATCATGATTAACCACGACTTGTTATTCGAATCGAGGCGCTGGAAAGTAGAGCGTACCAGTTTCTGTTTTATTTTTTGAATTTGATTGTTGATGATATATAATAATATAGTAGAGCTCGACTCACATTGACATGTATATCAAAAATACCACGGAGCGGATATAATTGTGTATCGCTGTGTGTTGTTTTTGCACTAGTCGAGAATATCTAGAGGAGACCAGTTTTTCCGTATATAGAGAAGATTCTCTCTCACGTTCTCTCTAACCGCCGGAAAACCGCTGTCTGTCACTAATAACACCGAAGTATCCTTGTTTAGAACCCGCTCGAAACCTTAGAAACGAATAATAATCTCTCTTAGCGTGAATCTCATTGATAGACGTAATAATAAAAACGCTTCTCTCTGTAAACGTGCCCGTGTATTAGACACGTTCACGATTTACCGATATTAATCCGAATAATACGGCATTTATTTTAGTGAAATAACTTTGTACGCGCAGAGTGCAGCGCTCCGACGCGATCCAAAATTGTCCACCGATGCTCATGGTTGTAAGAACGTTCTCGTATCAAAATTTGTATACTCGTTTTCCAATTGTATCGACGACCATGAATAAACGGGGAAACGTTTGGCCGGTTCACGTCGGCACGCTCCATTCGGCGCGCATTTAGTCGTCGATAAATTATCATGCTCTTTCCGTAATTTGCATCCCTTGTGTCGTCAGCATCTTGTATTGCGCATGCAGAGTTTTCTTACACGCGGGGTGTACGCGAGCAGAGGGTTTCTCCGATTCTTTGGGCTGACCGAAGCATGAGGAACGATTCCGTCCGGTTTCTCGTTAATTTACTGTTCGATTTTTCTGCAAGCATTCACTCGTCGTGCGCCGTGCCGCCCTTATCGACCCTTGTGTAGACAATCTGTGACCTATCTGCCGGGCTCATCTGTATACTTGAGCTGATCTGTACACCAGAGCTCGATGGAGTTAAACTTTCCTTCAACGGTAGACCTATCGTTAAAATTACTCAAATTATAAAAAGACTCTTTCATGCGAAACAGTCGATCCAATCGTACGATGTAATTAAAATTGCAAGGGATTATTAATACATTCGGTTCTATCGTTATGAATCAACACACGCATTAGAACTCTTTTTTAGGTTTGGTGTTAACAATCCTTTCAAAAATTATAGAAGCCACAATTACAATAGCCCGACAAGAACCAGCAAAAGAAATTTTACATTCTTATCGGTCAACTGAAATGCTCCAAAAATACAATTCTGTATCACAATCGTAGTCACTTTTAGAGCTCTTCTTAAGTTTAGTGTTAACAGTCCTTTTAAAAATTATAGAAGTCACAATTACAATAGCTCGTCAGAAACCAGCAAAAGAAATTTTACATTCTTATCGGCCAGCTGAAAGGCTCCAAAGATACAATCCTGTACCACAATGGTATTCGAATGAATAACAGTTTACCTACACAAGGATCAAAACGGTGGGCGTATCGTGCCTCGAACCGGTGTCCACCCTCGCAGCGAAATTGTGAACAGACCAGGGGGGGGGGGGGCACAGAGTGTCGACCCCGCATTTTCGAGTAGCCCGACGGAATCGACCTTTACGTCTTTTGTCCTTGTAGCATGCTGGGATTGGACTTGCCGCGATCGTCGCGTTCCACGTTGCTCGATACGCGCCTTTTTTTAATGAGCAGACCTGTGTTTTTCAGACCACTCCCGAGTCCGAGGCCCCGGTCGAAAATAAGCTGATCCAGGACAGTACGACAGAGAGCTCGGAAGAGAAGGTCACGCCTGTAGCCGTCCCGATCGAGACTCCTGCTCCTCCGCCATCCGCGCCAGCCATCACCGAAGACGTTGCCTCTGTGGCCAAAGTAATTATCCTCCTTGATCGGTGTTAATCCTCTGAGCACTGCGAACACCTGGTAGAAGCGCCTTAACAGAATAGTGGAAACATTTGCAGCACCGAGTCACTATTAGTGTTTAGTATAGCACAGTATACTAATGCTATACTGCACAGTAGATCAAGAATTGTAGAGTGCCATTTCATTGGTTTGAAATTAAGAAGTAACGATTCAATTATTCTGTCCAGAAACGTTTCAATTCGCTCATTCAGTGTGAACAGAGAATTTAGAACAGAGGATTAGCAAAGTAAAAAAATGTACGGTAGTTTAACATGATGATCGCCAAGTAAATTTCCGAGGCCATTAGAGATTCTCTGTTAATGTCCGACGAGAGAAATAGAGCGAGGGGCCATCTGATCGTAGCTTCGATCGCTGGTTCCGTGGATCGTGTGGATCGTGACGTTGACATTAACGAGAGACCCTGTTTGCTTCTATGTTCGCAGGCCGTTGAGGAGATCGAAATAAGTGCTAAGGCTATCGCGGCAGCAACAATTGAGTGCACCACGACCGTAAGTTGTCTTCTTCTTAATCCTTAATCTTCTCAAGTTGAACATGATTTTCGGATTCTAAACTCGGCTTTGTTCGCAGGAAATAATCGCGGACGCGCCCTACGAGAACAACGTGAACGAATAAACGCCCCGCCTAACCGAATTGTAATTTTTGGGAAGAAGAAAGTTCTTTTCTCTCGTTAAAACCAAAAAAGTATATTATATAGATATGTATATTTGGACCATTCCTGCAAACTAAACAGATAAAAAAAAAAGAAAAAGCAAAACTGAAATGAACGTTCTTTCGTTACGAGCAGCAACAACAAAAAAAATAAATAAATAAATGATGGAAAAAGCAAAACGACGCAAAAAGTTAACGCAAAAATAACACGGAAAGTGAGGAGAAAAAGAGGAGGGAGTCACAGCACACAGAATAAGTAAAAAAGAGGGACATAACGATCAATGGGAAAACGAAACACGGAAAAACAGCAAACGTAATCGAAAAAACATAGAGAATGAAACGGAACGGACGACGATGTTGCCGCGACATCGCGAGAGCATTGTAGACAGTTTATAGTAGGCCTATTAATAATAATTATTAGACTGCAGTTCGACGGCTGGGCGAACGAGGAATGTCCACGAATGGCTACGGTCGTGTATATCGTCGAGGAGAGAGAGAGAGAGAGAGAAAGGGAGAGAGAGAGAGAGAGAGAGAGAGAGAGAGAGAGAGAGAGAGAGAGAGAGTACGAGGTTTCACGTAGGACGAAACGAATGGAACGGTCGCTTCCGAGAACACCGAGTGTTGTCTTTCGCCGGTGGTGCGGGCAATTTGGTCCCTAGCCGAGTGATTTTTTACTAATTATACAATTTTTCCAACGCGACTTATCCTCCGAGGGAACAATAAATTTTCGCGAGCGATCGCAGCGACGGTCCCCCGTGTATTTTCCATGGGGTCGGTCTCTGCGCTCGAGGCGAATCGAAACAACAAATCTGCCATTGTTAACTAAGCTAAGTCGAATCACGTGCAACCATCATGAAGAACAAGCCGAAGGAAACACGAGAAGAACATTGTTCGAGGAAGAAGTACTCGTCGGATCGCGTCCTCCTGTTGCGATAACGCTTGCTATCGTATGTGTGTGAGTGAAAGAGAGAGGGGGGAGGAAGTAAGACTGGTTGGGAAGAGAGTGCTAACGAGAGAAGTGTAATTAAAGATCGGAAATCGAAGTTGCTAAGCATGCGTGTGGGAGAGAGTCGTCGTATAACGCGCGCGCGCACGAGAGAGAGAGAGAGAGAGAGAGAGGAGGGAATGGAGAATTTGGTACGTTATCTTCGCCATGATGTGTGGTCGTTGAAGAGAGAGGGGCAGGATCGGATAGCGAGGGACGAGGGGAGAGGCAAACAGATGAATTAAAGAATATGTCGAAGCGCACGAGTAATGAAACACTCGGATCGCGATTCTCAAGGACGGTCGACGATTATTTTGCTCGTATTTCATTCGCGGTCCTTGGTTCTTTTCTTTTCTTTTTCTTTGGGTAATTGTACAATCGAAAGAGGTTTTTACGTTGTAACGAGGAACTGCACACACACACTTTCTAGGTATGACTCTTAGTACACGAGACACACGAGAGAGAACGAGAGGTAAACACGTACACAAGGTATAATTCCAAGACGATTTTCACAGGTAGAAGAGAGCGAAAGAGAGAGAGAGAGAGAGAGAGAGAGAGAGAGAGAGAGAGAGAGAGAGAGAGAGATACACAGACACACAACAATCATACACGCGAGATAAGAAAGCAAAAAAGAATGGTATGAATAATATTAATTAATAATTAATAATAATAATAATAATAATTGAAAAAGGAAAAAAAAGGAAACACAAAAATTACACACGAGGAAAGCATACACAGTAAGCCGAGACAAGAATGTAAGTGATATATAATCTAGACATAGAGGAAGCGTTTGTGTAAATTCGGCGTTCGTTCGAAATGCTACTTCTCCATATGAGAAACTACTTACGAGGAAGCCTATTCGTAATTTTATAATAATCATTAACTACAACAAAAAAAAAAGGTATCGCCTAACTACGATTTACAAAACATTGCACAATTTTACCAGCCGAGGGGGAAAGAAAGAGAGAAAAAAAAGAAAACAACGGATTCGTTCGCGTACGGATCACACGCGCCCATCGAGTATAAATGATAATTACCTACGAGAAGCTTTCTTTTTTATTAAGAACCGTAGTGTAGATCGTAAAGTTAAAAACACAGAAAAGAACAAAACGAAGATGCGCATTACATGTAAATGCTCCAAAATCTCAGAATAACTTGTAAGTGTTAAAAAAAGGAGAAAAGAAACGAAAAAGGATAAAAGATGGAGCGAGCGTTTTCAATGTGGCCGCGACCGGCATTGATTTTTAAACGATATATATTATTATTATTAATGAGTAAGGAGAAAGAGGTAAAATTAAAAGTTGTATAGTAAACCATTTTCATTAAATATATTGTCCGTAAAATGATCTTTACAACGAAATTACATCGTTTTTTCGAGACAAGTTTTGGCGACGAGAGCGAACTTTTTTTATTTAAACGAAGAGAGAAAAAAGAAGATGAAAAAAGAAAAAATAATCCTTGAAACACCCGACTGATTATCTGTACACTCGCAAAAACTATCGATCGTTGAAATCCTGAGGCGTCGCCGACGCAAGCTTCCTCGTTTATTTATTTTGCGCTCCGGAAAGAAATGAAAAAGTACTACAAAATTATAAATGAGACTTTTGAGTCGAAGACGCCTCAGACAGAGAATAACAGTCTTCAGTATCTTCGATGAGCAGTTATAATAGTAATTAAACTATTCTACATTTATCTATAACCTATAATAAACTGTGAAACAAGTGTAAAACGATTGGATATATTCATTTTTGTCTTGAAAACCCTTTATTAACTTATTTAACAATATTTTGTTTTTTCTGTACAGTAGAATCATTTCACTGTCGACTCTATGGTGCTTATGAAAGTCTCCAGTTCATCTTTATTCAATTCCAATCCCAAAACACGTCGTCCTCCCTTATTTTCAACTATAAGATCCAGCTGAAGAAGAGGTTCCCTCAAAGAAGCCAACTTACTGGATCCCATTATGAGCTTCAAACAATTAACAACTATGATATTTTCTGTGGAAGCGTTGTATTAGAGACTAACTGAATTGTTATTATTACCTTTAATTTCCAATCAAAATCTATCAATGTTTCATATTTTTCTTTGGAATATTCCTTTAATAAAGCATCCGTTAGCTGCTCCCTTCTCACTCTCAAACAAGTTAGTATGCTTTGCTG